AAACTTCGGGTCTTTACACTCACCATACCAACATTTAGCTGTTATTTCACGCTGGTATTCTGTGAGGGCGTGGTCTTGCCCCGGTCGAGCCGACCCATTCGTGCTACAACCATAATTTAGCTGCAGCGAGGTTTTATCACGCATTTCTTATAACTCATATATTTGGACATGTGAAGTCTACAATGCGAATATGTAAATGGTAGAAATAGGAAAGGCCTGCGTTCAGGTACATACGTAGGCTTAACAGTCATCATATCATAACATCTATACTTCTCACTTATCGTCATCACTATAGCTGTTCACTTAGTCTATTGCTGAACCAAGGTCTCCTTCAAGGAATGCCACAAGGCACTGTCATGAGCCATCTGCATCCATCGAATTCTTGCATGTTTTACCAGGTCGTCACCCTATCTAGTAGGGGGCCACCGTACACTTCGCCTATCGGAGCGTACAAGGCTACCACTCGAGAACCTTTCTTCCCCATCGGTTGTCGGTTCTTCCAGCTATATGGCAGGCCCATTGCCACTACACCTTACTTGTTGGCCTATGTCGGTCACTCTGGTTCTACTGTGGATATACTCATTTTTAAATTTATCACGCAGAGAAACCCCGAGCATAGCCCTCTCGATAGCTCGCTGAGTACCTTCGAGTATTCTCATACGGACAGCAATGATAGACCACGTCACAGATACACAAGTCATCACTGGCAGCACGCACTGGTTGTATGATCTTGTTTTCAAGTTCTCACTTATACTATGCTGTGAAATAGTTTTGATTCTATTTTATTACATTAAGCGACATTTAGAGTGCTTCTTTAACCGCCTTATTTAGATGCATACTCAGATTATTTTTTTTTTATTATCTGATTACCTGCACTCAAACCAAAATATATTTTTTAGCAAATTCGAAATACATACATATTATAATTTTACAAACACTATGAAACCGGATAACTGGGCCTCTAAGGGACCTGCAAATTTGTCTCACTTAAAAAAGTATTCCACCTATCCAGTGTCTCAAATATTCAGGTATAAATAATCATCTGTTTCATTTACAAAGGTTGCCAATAATAGAGGTAAGAATAGGGGTTATTTCAGTTATAGAGGTGCGATTATTAAATACAATAACGTATTTTGAAAACATACTTAATATATAAACATCCGGACGATAGCAAAACCAAATTAAAGCTGGAGGTCACTTTTACACAATTAACCAAGTGCGGAATGCGCGAGTAGAATAAAAATTATTAAGAAAACGGTACACAAAATATAGTCTCAGTAAAAGAGGTAAAATATACTCGCTGTCTCAATTATAGAGGTAATTATTACGAATAAAATCGAAACAACTAATCCCAGCTATAGAGGTTTTTTTTGTCCCACTAACAGAGGTAATTCAGCGCTAAAGTGTCGGGGCCTAAGCATGAGTTCCAGCTATGGACTTATCCAGGTCCCACTTAACTAAATTTTATTGTATTTACAAAATGTTAACATCGAAATACTTGTTCCCTAATAAAGTAGCCTTGAAACTTGACGTAAAAATTGTAAAAGTTGGATTGCAAAATGTCCAGACCGGAGACATCGTCCGGTAATGCGATCTTTGATAAAAGATAGAGAAGATTTGTCGTAAGATTTGTCGAAAGATTTGTCGTTGAGATTTGTCGTAATTAACTTGGTAGACTGATTTCACAGCCGACTGCTTTACAGGCTGACCTGGCTTTGTATGCCGTAAAGAAAACAATTATGAAATACATTAGAAAAGTGTTACATTATGAGATAGTGCTATGTACCGATGGATATCATTTTTTTAGTCGCATTGGCGACAAACTGAAATACATTGTATAATTTTTATATAATATTTTTTTTATTACATTACTGCAAATGGCTTTTGTCTTTTGCGAGTACAAGGGCCTTTACAACTAGCATAATATATCGTATTTGTAAAGAATATTAAAAATTAACAATACAAATATTTCAGTTAACTCCAAGTAAGCTTAAATTGTTTGAAATGCTTGTGTTAGGAGTGGATAACGGCTGTAGTGGAATGACGGTTTAGAAATCAGGACTTTCCGAGTTTGCAGTTCATTCCCTTAACCATTAGGATTCTGTCGCGTTACAATGTATCATCACTCATATATCAAGAAATTATTTTAAGGGCTTTGTAGGGCTGATAATTAAATTACTAGTTTTTTTTTTTATTATAGTTTTTAATATTGTTTTTAACTTTAATATTATTTTTCTTTATTCGATTTACTATATTTAAGGGACAAGTACTACCACGTAGTACTACCACGTAGTACTACCACGTAGTACTACCACATAGTACTATCACGTAGTACTACCTCGTAGTACTTATCCGTAGTACTAGTAGTATAAATAATGCATAATTTAATTAAGCAGCATGTTTATAAGTTGTACAAAGGTTCATCTTCTAAACACTACGTTTTTTGTTTAAATTACAATACTAACTTATACTGACCTCAGTATGTATGTTATTACTCTATGGTATTGACACTAAAAATAGCACTTTAAAATTTAAAAGCTATGTATGTGCATAAGAAGTAATGACCGGCACTATGTAGTTTACATATTTAATATGTTTAACAAATAGATTATCGATTAATCAGTAAACAAATTCTTTGGAATTATGTAAGTAAGACAAAAATATATTAATGTGATGGGGAACAAATAAAAAAAAATATAATAACCTTATCTAAATATTTGTCTTGGATTTGTATATTTTAAATAAAATATTACCCAATGAAATGTGTAACTGAGTTGGTAAGGGTCGCCTTAGATGGAAGTTTATAGACGAAACTTTTTTATAGAAAAAGTGGCAAATGAACATAGTCCACCTGCTGGTAAGTGGATGCTGTGGCCCGTGGATATCTACATTTATCCTTGGTTAAGAATCAAAATGCATATGTGTTGTCACCCCTTAGGACTAATATGGAATGCCTCATTCCTATAAAAAGGGTCTTCGATTCTTTACACTGACCATACGAAACACAGCAGCAGAAACACTGCTATTCCACGCTGGTATTGTGTGAGAGTGTGATCCTTCATCGGTCGAGCCGACCTATTCGTGTTACAATCTTAATTTAGCTGTAGCATAGCTTTTCCACATATAAACTGGTGTTGTATTTAAGATGAGGAAAATCAAGAGCAACTTTAACCGTCGAGCATAAATACTTAGATATATGGATGTGAAAAAGGACTTCATAGTATCTGCCTACTACTCTGTGTGACAGTCATGAGGTTTATGTATGTATGAACCAAAATCAAGATGTATATTTAATTAATAACTATGGATAATAACAATCATTAAAATTTCTTTAACTTTCTGTATAATTTATTCGTGTCATTTGCAAACACTAGTTAATATAACATTAAAATTTCTTTTTATCAAAATAGAATTTCCATTTTGATAAAAGTAAATTTTAAAGAATTAAGAGGAAAACTTACTTAGAAGTCAGTATGATTATTCAACAGACGCGACCTACTTAAAAAGTTTCGACTACGCCTTACGCAATGTAATGCAGATCCGTAACGATTAAAGTTATAAGTCAGCAAACACAAATTATTAAATAGGTGTGTTTTGTTTTTGAAGTAATTTATATTTGTTTTTAAATTAAAACTACAGATGTGCTTTCCATAAAGCATTACAGACAAATTTCTACCATAAATAAAGATGGAAATATATGCACATAACAAACGCGACTTCATGTGATAGGGCTGGCGCTTTATTATTAATTAAAGAATATTTTATGATTGACACACATAGTGAAGTCACTGAAAATTTAATTTCCGTTAAAAATAATTTGTCCACTAAAATGATCCGCTATCCAATTGTCTACTAAATGTAAATGTAAATTACACACAATAATAATGTGTAAAATGCATTTGATAACTTTGCGAAGTTTTTTTTAGAAACTTGAGACTAGCTTAAAACAGCAGAGTGAAACAATAGACCGTATCGTAAGACCCCTAAAGGGAAAACTAACTTCTAATTTTATCATGATCGAAGCAACTGTTTCAATCATTTCGTTAATCATTGTTGCTACATTTACTCGTAATACACAAAAGAACTCCATTTTTACGTATGAATTTCAAGTTTCCGCCGAAAAACCTTTGTTGTGTATCATCATTATCATCATTACAAGTTCAGTGCTGACCATAGATTGGCAAATGTAGGAGAATCCACTAATATTATACCTGAATGTCCTAAGAAAATGAAACCGGGAATGGGCGTAGCATCTTCCTGATAAAAAGTAAAAAAAGTAAAATAACATCCTATATAGTTCCCACCACTGGGCACAGGCCTTCCCTCACTTCTTAGAGGGTTTTAGGGCAAGGAAGTGTACGTCACGCTGCCCCATGCATGTTGTCTGACTTCACGTGTCTTCGAAATATATATATTTTATTTTATTTCTCTGACATGAAGGTTTCTTCACGATGTTTTCCTTCACCGCACATCACGTGGTAAATCAACACATAAAATTGCAATTAGAAATATCATTGGTGCCGGCGGGGATCGAATCCGATAACAACGCAAAATAACAAAAAAATGCGGTTGCCAACTCGCCTCCCAAGCTTATAACTATAGCAAATATCTCCACTATGAGTTAATGTGGGGGAGACATTGTTCAGCAGTGGACTTTTAATAGAATGTAGTGATGATGACGATGAAGCACTATTACCCAAGATAAAACTGTATTTAATAAGAAAGAAAGATAAACTAATACCATGCAACACAAAAGTTTAATTTCTATACATTTTATTGGATGACTTGAGAACAACTTTTTGAATATCATATTATTATTAAAATCTTTATTATCCACAGAAACTCAGTTAGTACTGTTCAGTTTACCTTTCTTGTCTAATCTTTGTCGGATGTAAATTATTGATTCCTTTTGTTTTAATAATTCTTATAAAAGTTATTTCCATTCCTAATTTCTCAATAATGAAATTATTCTTAATAATGAATGAAAGTAATAGACTTACTTTTCAAAGCCCATATTTTCCTTTCCAATAATCCATTGACGTAAACTTGCATTTCCTCTTTGCACAATCCTTTCACTGATCTCTGGATTTCACGCCACTGCGTCACTAATATTTTTGAGTCGATTATTTTCAACATATTTTCTATACTGACAAAGTCTGTATGATTTGACACTTCCACTTTAAGTTGCAATTTCGATTCGTTTAAAGTGTTTCGTATGGATTCATTGAGTTTTGAGAAAATGTCTTTATTAGGTTTAAACGTAGTTTTCTCAGCTTGTTTCGTAGTTTTCACTATATGTTGAACATTATGTGATTTTTCGGTACTAGAGGTTCGTCTTTCTGGTTCTACATCGCCGAAGGCCTCAGCAAAAGTCAGACCATCGTCGTCGGTAAGAACATCTAAATTTTCCTCGGTTCTTTTGTGGTTCTTACTCGAATTAGGTGACATAGACCCAACAAGATCAGATATATGGGGACTCTCGTCATCTATACCACCTTTAGCTGATGCATGCTTAATATTTTGGAAAGCATCGATCAGCGCGCTTCGGAGCTTTTCTTCCCTAACATTTTCTTTATTTACACTTGAATCCAATTCAGCGCTCAAAACGCAGCTGGCACACAATAAAATCACTAAGAGAGACATTTTGAAAAAAAAAAGTATTTTTTTTTAATTCACACGCACATGGCTTAAGCACTGGTCGGGTTCGAATATTTATTTTTTATTTTTCGAATATCAATGGTGCGCGCGCGGCGGCATAATCGGTGAGACTGGCGCGCATACGGTTGCGATGGACGCTATGACATAACGAAGTTACAAAGTTATGGCGGGACTTTCACTATCGGCACAGGTGAGCTGCATCCTTGTAGGGTGGCCGATGTCGTGCTCTAGTTATTTCATGTTAAGTATCTTAATCGCTGCGTTATTAATAATTTGATATGGTGAATATAATATATTGCTTATCCCCTTGACTGACTTTGCTTTCAGTGTTAGGTGCTACGTGCAATGTGTGCACTAATTCGTCCTTATATACACATCGTAAGGTTGGCCCTTATCGGGTTAATATTTCAAACTGGACCAAGTAATAAAGTACAAGTTATAGTACGCTTGGTGGTTTGCAGTCCATGGATATCTGCAGTCAACTTAAAACAAGTAAGGCCATATATGCATTGTTAGCTCTGTGTACTAATATGATGATATTAAATGGTGCTAAACGAGAACATAGAACAGAACACCCTGTGGTAAGTGGATGCTGTGGCCCATAGATAACAATATCTATCACTGATTAACCGAGGACTAATATGGAATACCTCGTTTTTATTAAAAAGTATACAGTTCGCCACACCTACCATACGAAACACATCAGTATTAAACTGTTATTTTATCATATTCCTATGTCTTTATTTTGTTCAGCAGAGCATGATCCTTCTCCGGTCGAGTCGACCCATTCCAGCCATAGCCATAATATAGCTGAAACATGTCTCTACTACGTATAATTTATTCATACACAAACTATGAACTCATATATTTTGACCAATAATTTTATATATGTGTTCTAAATCAAAGTGTATAGAAAATTATTTATATTTTAATGGACTATACGTTAGGCATATTTTGGTTTCTCTTATTGTGTTACTTGTCTTCTTTCACTTGCGTACGGATTGCAGGTTAAAGCGTATAACCCGGTCACATGAGTTAAGACTGTATAATTTATAACACTAACGGAACATTTTTATTACTTTACATAACGATAGTATGAATATGATTATGCAGTATTTTTTACAAAATAAGGGCGATGAACGAGCTGTGGAGAAATGGTGGAAACGATGAAGTGTCTATGGGTCATAGACGCCTACATCATGCTCAATTAAGAATCAAAATGTACATATTTTATTTTTATTTTAGTTTATAGAATACGAGTGTTAATCTAGCACACAGTATACCTGATGGTAAGTGGTTGCTGTGGCCCATAGACATCTACATCTATCCTCGATTACGAATCAAAATCTAGATGCGTGTCTCTCGTGAGGACTAAGATGGAATGCCTCGTTTCCAGTAAAAAGGGGTCTCCGGTTCTCTACACTCACCATACGAAACACAGCAGCGTTATGCTGCTATTTGACGCTGGTATCCTGTGAGAGCGTGGTCCTTCCCCGGTCCATCCAACCCATTCGCGCTACAACTATACCACTAATATAGTCGCAGCATGGCTCTACCATGTATTAGATTTTAAAACAATTACATCTGACTACACCACGTCTATCGTGTCACCGTCTCAAATGAAAAATGAATATTCATCACAACCCCCTGCCGGGCACATGCTTCCTCTCTTATATACAGCACAGCGCATATTAGTTTTGGAAAAAAAATATCCTAAGTAATACAGACAAAAATCAACGGAGGTTTAAAAATATTGTGTGTGTGTTTTGTTCAACTAATGACGTTTTACTTTTGTTGTTTATTTATTTATTTCTATTATGAAATTTCCGACTGCGTACAGAAACATTTAAATAATTGGGGTGATCGATGTTGCAAACCATCGATGATTACATTCAGCTTGACAACAATAGCTCAACATCGATGTTCGTTGTACGTTGAATACAAACGAACAATGTTGGGCAATATTTATGTTTTGCGTACACTAATTGCATACAATATTCTGTGAAAATTTCATCTATCTACCTATTACGGATCATGAAATACAGCCCCCTGACAGACGGACGGACGGACGGACGGAAGGACAGCGGAGACTTAGTAAAGGGTCCCGTTGATTACCCTTCCGGTACGGAACCCTAAATATGATTGCGTATAAAAAAAAGTTACTTTTTTATGTACGGAACTAAATAGAATTATCTATTCTAATATTATAAAGAGAGAGTACGAATTTCGTGAGTTTGTGAATACTTGGAAATACTGCACCTATTTGAAAAATTCTTTCACCATTTGAAAGATACATTACTCCATATAGGTATAGGCTACGTAATATGTGTATTACATATATTATGTCTATAAATTATGACAATATTCTTCAACTAATTCGGAAAAAGTCGTACCTCTTCCAAAGCGTGCGCCGAGCCAATGATTAAAGGTTCTCGAAAATAATTTATGTCCGAATTGAATCTAATGAAAATTTCTAAAAACAGTCCGCGACAGCATATGTCTTACTCCTAAAGTTATAATTCGCAGTAATCATTTTTTTATAAAAAATCTAGCGCGACACATAAATGTGGTAGCAGTCGGTGCGGCGGGATAATTGTGCAACCTTAGGCAAAGCAGGGGCGGGCCGCTAGTAAATTATTACAACACATTAAACGCCATGGCCACAAAATAATATTATATTGTTGGAAATTCATATTTACTATGCGTTTGTGACATCGATGTCTTCAATAAATAATCGATGTTTTATATTATCGATTATCCCTAAAGTAAAGTGGATAGAAAGCGTCCTCGCGGACCTCAAGCACCGCAACTCATAGTTAAGCCAGTGCGCCATAGAGCCGTCAAGTATGGAGTCCAAATAGAGTTGGACTTTAGAATTATGAGGTTTTGACTTATTTGTTATTTTACCAGGTCGTTTCTTCATCTCGCCCACCCTACACTTGGCTTAGCGATACGAAGCTGTCACTCTAAAATATCTCTTCCGCATCTGCCATTAATTCGTCGAGCTGTAGCCGACCCATTGTCACTACAGGTTACTAATGACTGTTAACATCGTCTTTAAAACTGATTCAAGAACACAAAGGGTTTTAAGTATAAGTTTTCGTCTTTGATCATTAAGAATTTCCAAGTAAATTTGTGTTTGAATAATTTTTTTTTATAGAATAAGGGTGACAAACGAGCACACAGCCCAACCGATGGTAAGTGGTTGCTGTGGCCCATAGACATCTACAATCGATCGAATACCAATGTGCTCTTAAATGGGGAGGAGTTGAGTCTTGTGGATACCACTGTTTTCCTTGGTATTACTATTGACGCGAAACTTCAATGGGGCCCCATATATCTAAATTAGCAAGCAGACTTAGTTCTGCAGCATATGCTGTAAGAAAGATTAGAAGTCTCACAGATGTTGAGACAGCTAGGTTAGTGTATTTTAGTTACTTTCATAGCGTAATGTTTTATGGAATTTTGCTATGGGGTAATGCGACTGATATTGAAGCTATATTTGTTTTGCAAAAGAGAGCCGTACGGGCGATTTATAATCTAAATTGTAAAGAGTCCCTCAGAGAAAAATTTAAAGAAATAAACATATTAACTTTGGCATCGCAATATATTTATGAAAATGTATGTATGTACATAAAAACATAAATAGCTTTAATAAGAATAAGGATGTTCATACCTTAAACACTAGGAACAAACATAAGCTTGAAATGCCAGTTACTAGACTCCACAGAATTAGTAATTCATTTATGGGGCAATGTATACGCTTTTACAACAAAATCCCAGAACATGTTCAAAGTTTGTCAATAAACAAGTTTAAAAGTTTTATTAAAGAAAAACTGTACAAAAAGGGTTATTACAATATCAAGGAATACGTGAATGAAAATAACCCCTGGGAATAAGGTGATCGCCACCATGCTGGTTCTATGAAAATTCATTTAAAATTGTATAAACAAAATTATTGTTAAGTGAAATTATGTTTAAAAAAAAAGTCCCGCTGGGTTTCTTGCTGGTTCTTCCCAGGACAGAGGTATTTTCCGAACCAGTGGTAAATAAAATAATAACTTTCAATAAGTATTATGTAATAATCCATATTGAATAAAATTCATTCTATTCTATTCTATTCTACATTTATCTACGTTTGCGAATCGAAATGCAGATGCGTTCAGCGAATCAGATGTAGATCAGAGAATCAGGTCTACTGTCGACCTTTTGCCTTATATATATTATATTTTTAATAATATCCATTCAGATACAGTATTTGCTCAGAATCATAATTATAAATATAAATTTTAAGCAGTAGAGTCGAATATATTATTGATATAATTAATAGAATCAGGCGTTACTTTGCGGAAATCCATTTTATTAAAGTTGGCAAAAATTACCTCGCATACATCCGCTCGATAAAATAAAATAATGTGTCTTACCTAGTTTGAGCACCTCCCGCCCTCCCTCAATTACGTGCACATCCCCGTCACCACTGATCCCAGCACCACTACTCCCAACACCACTACACTAGGAAAGACACACCGCTTACGACAATACGACACGTGTAGATACATGTAGACACGAATTTTTGCCTACTTTAACGCAGTCATAGTTTTGTTTACAATTATATCAGAAAAATAAAGCGTTTTGACAATTAGTGGCTAGGCTAGCTGTACTACAGAGCGTTACAACGGATCCGGAAGTCCGTACGTGCGGAACGCGTGTGACCACGGGGAAAGCGCTCTGTCGTAATATTTGTACCGCGCACGATTCCAAGCCACTATTATCTAAGAGTAAAATAAACAATACTACGGTATAATTCTCACCATTTATTTTCATAATCACAACTTTTGTTACAGTTCTTAATTAGCTGTCGAGCTTTTTGTCTGAGAGTTCGCCTGAGTCTGGATGACAATCATCCTCTTAGATTCCTGTTTCTGTAATAAAATTAATTTTACGGATTTTAATGTGTTTAATTTTAACTTGTATAATTCCCGACC